ACCCTTGGGCCTCAATTTCATTTGTTTTTGAACCACAATCCGTTTCCATATCTTCTTAAACAACACAAAACATGTCGCTCTAGATGGTCTGTAAATCCAACATGGCGGACCTCTAAAATGATGAAAATGACCGCTGACCAAAATCATTGTTTTTCCTGATTTCAATGAGCTATTGATCTGAATATAGTTTTTAAACATGAAATAATACTCACTTTGATAAATTTAACTCTCTGATCAATTTTCGATACCAGAATTCATGCCTTTGATGCTTATTTGAAGCCAACAAATGACCAGCCTCGCTTTCGTGCAGTGTTGATCATGTGATCAGTATTTAGTACTCAAGTCTATGGATATGTATTAGACAGACGTATATTAAAGATTTCTGGTATTTTTGTGGAAATTTATTGTAGTTAATTGTATTTACACGCCATTTTATATTCGAGCCTCGATTCCATGTTGTTCGATATAGGTCTAAAAACAGACCCCCATAGCGACCGCCGGTGCAGGTTACAAAATTGCCGACAAAATTTTTTGTGTTCCTCAGGTTTCCCTTAACACATCTAGGTAGGTGGTTTGCTTTCACCATAAAAATCCCACGGAGATTTATTTTATGACATATGCTCCCTGACTATTTCTTTCCATAATGTACTTGCACCAAATCTTAACTTGACGTAGAAGATATTCATTTGGCACGTATGAGTTTGCTCAAGCGAAGAGGATTTGACCAGTGAGGTGACTCCAATGCAGCATATCATTATTTGTCGTTCATTTCGGGTTAGGTAAACACATTCTGCAAAATACATGTATATAAAAGAGTAAGAAAAGTCTATTTTCTCACGGACGTAGCAAAACTGACACAAATTAAAACACATCAATAGTATACTGGAATTGCTAGAATTCAAAAGCACTATATGTGCGTGAAAAACAAGAATAAAAACGAAGCAGTTAAGGTACTAAAAAAAATAAAACGAGAATTAACGTAGCAATCACGGAACAAGTGAGACGCTGAGTTCATAACCCGTTAAGCTCCAAGAGAGATCAGAATCAAATTTCGCGTTGTAATATCACCGCCTTGGTACACAGAGTTGTAGCGAGAATTAATGGCATGATGAATTTGATTGAAACAGCGGTGGGGGGGTTAATGAGACGAGGTCTGGGACCGAGAAACGATGTTCTCACAACTTGCAAAGCGGTCACCCAGCGTGGTGGTCAGCGGATAATTACAGTTTTTTCTTCCCACAGTAAATATTTTAGAAGCAAGAATTGAAGCAAACCCGACCGGCAGAGGAAATCAGAAATGCTTAAAAAATCAAAAAAATTATATCATGCCACTTTGTTTTTCTTGCATATCGTATTTGTCTCTCGGTACTGAAATGCGGGGGTAACTAAAACGCAACCATGCTAGATCTTAACCAACAACAACGCGCTCGATGTATACATCGTTTTTGCCGGGCAAGGATAACGTAATGCTGATAAAAATTACTGGAGCAAGTGTCAAATTTATCGGAAGCAAGTATATCCAAGAAAGCTTTATAAATATGAGCTTACTGCTCTACATATCATAACTGAATAAAAATTAACACTTCATAACATTTCACTTCGTTTATTTCGATCAGTCAACAACTTGAATCCAGAGTTAGAATTCAAAACGATGCTAAAAAAAATCACAACTACTACTGAAAGCTCTGTACCTTGAAGAGACTTTAACTTTCCTAAGGTTTGCAGCAAAACACTGCTCGATAGCTCTCAACTCTTCGGCGGCCTTTTCTTAGCAGGTATACGCAGCTAGCTATATGTTGCATATTTCAAACTCTGCAAAGGGAAATTGTTTAACAGAAAAAGAAAACCACACACTATGTCTGAAAAGCGACATAAAATCAATAAATTTGCGAATTACCAACATATAATAGTGAGAAACAGTCCCGTCTTCGACTGCCATGTTTTTCTTTTTTCTAAAGACCGTTGATCTATGGTTTTTGACGTAATGTGCATGATCAGTACACAAATCCGCTGGCAAGACCCTTGCTGATCGCTTTGCAAGTTGTGAGAACATCGTTTGGATTTCATTTAAGAGAATGTATGGGAAGTAGCTCCCCCCCGCCTGGATTGAAATTTTGATAACTTCTCCCTCCTAGTTATATTGAAAATGTATAGCGGGAGCAAACGAAAATTTAAATTTTAATATTTGGGTAAAAAGGTAAAAAAAAAAAAAAACATTTACTCACAGCCATGTTGAATGGTTTCTTCTCATCTTGGTGTTCTGAATGTTGTGAAGTTCAGTTTGAAACTGTGACCAGTGCTTTTCCAGTCGCACTTGTCTACTCTCTTGACTCGCAAGTCTGTAGGATAAAAGTAGACAACTAGCATCTAGCATTTACAAATATATAATCTGAAAAGCAAAAGGTTTATCACAGTTACACCTAATGTTAAACAAGAAAACTCCTTTAGCATCATCTCCTTCCTACAACTGAAACGATGAGGGTCAACGATTCAATTAATATCGATACCATTGTTCGCAGAATGCAATCCCTACTTAAGTGTTTCTATCCCCCTATGACTGTTTCGGGCAGAGGTTATGTTGTTGGCGCTAGTGTATAGCCCCCACCCACCCCCCCCCCCCGTTTACTTTTTTTGGGGGGCACATTTCCGCCTAAGGTTTTCTTCGGCAACTGAAGATGACGTATTTCTGACCTCCTTTTTATGGAAGATTTGTTTTATAACTATTACGGGAAGAGTTTTTGCACCGCTGCTCCTAAGGTCAAGCTAGAGAGCCAGTCTTTTAATACGTAGTCCTATCAGTGCAGAAAAAAGAAACATTGGCCGTACAGTGAAACCCCGCCTTCCGGTCACCTCGGTAATACGGTCACCTTGTTATTACGGCCGCTTTATTTATCCGCCTAGCAAAACGGCCATACAGTTTCTTGTTAAAAACTCTCGTTGATACGACCAATTTGTTTTGGCCCATTGGTGACCGTATTAATGGGGTTCCACTGCACTTGCCAACCTAGTGATAAAAGTCTTAGAAAGGATTATAGAGTAAGTGCGCGGCGGCCATTTGAAGGAGTAAAACAATTAAACGCTTTTTCTTTGGGAAAAAATTTTCACTTTTATGCAAATAATTTTTTGGTGTTTACTCCTCCAACATGGTGGCCTCGCACAGACTCTATACACTTCTGTCTGACTTACTTATGTCAGTGGCAATTTAACAGTTCAAGGTACTCATTGATAAACAAAGCGAAGAAAATATACCTTTTGAGTTACAGCTTTTCGTTAAAGATGTTTTCTTGAAACAATTTAGGTTTCTGCGAAACTGCCCACCTACCCCTCCCTAACCCAAATGAGACACAAATGTTAACGTTGTGTTAGGGGAGGAGTAGGAGGACAGTTTCCCAGAAACCTAAATACATCCGTTGTATGACCCAATACTTATTTTTCTATCTCGATTAGTACCTGTCCTGTATCAGGGACTGTATCCGTGCATCAATAGTGCTGTTACTTTTGTATGATAACGGGTTAGTGGTTTCTTTTTTTCAGTACATGTTGAGCGTAGGAAAATTTTCCAGAGGGAAGGAAAAAGGTACCGCCGTCTGAAAACAAACAAAAATTTCTACTTTTTGCAAATGCTTTTAACAGACAAATTGGGTTCTTTTACCTCCGTATATCAATAATTAAAGTCAAGTGCAGAGTAAAGATTGTTGTTTAGCTCTGTCTGCAGTGCCTCTCAATTCAGAGTGAAACCACGCGGAAATCGACTCGACCGGCCTCATGATCACTAATGTGTCGCGAGCGGGGAAAACTATAGCATTTACTTAGTCAAAGGTAAGAATATGATCCAAAGTATTATATACTCTTTATAAAGGAAAGAGCACAAACAAACGGTATTTTAGCTTATATTCTAGTTAGAGGCTGAGAATAATTGTGTATGTGCGTACAAGAGTGGTGTTGGCCCGTCTATACCTTTAAAAACTGTCGTAAATTATTAGCGAACACGTCTCTCTTTCTGAGGGGAGGAGGCGGCTATACACAGGCTGACGCAGATTACAAGGACGAATTAGGCAAGACGCTCAAACTATGAAACAAGGGGTGCCACAGGGTTCTATTTTAGGACCTTTTCTGTTCCTGCTTTCCACTACGGCAATCGAGATCTACTGTTGATATTTTCGCAGACGATGCAACATTAACAGCTACTGCGCGCTTTTCGGATATTTAATCTCTGACCCAGTACCTAAATAAGACCCTTTGCAAAAACGTTTCGGTCTCACTCTTGACTAGAATACGGCTTACGACTCAAATATTAACGAACTTTGCAAAAAGAAATATCTAAACACCTAGCTCTCCCTAAGAACGCGATTCCCTAGGTACAAAGGAAAGAAAGAGAAACTTATAACGAACTTATCAAACCTATTTTAATGTACTAGCCGGGGTATCGTTTGGGACAGCTGCTGAGCGGAATCCTGTCACATGATGACCACGGGGTTCTCAAGCTTCAATAACCTGAATTGGCTGCCTGTTACTGAAGTAGTCTTTTAATAAAACAAAGTCTTTAGTTTATAAAAGCTTCGATAGTATTTTAATACCCCGATTTACATAGATGATTTATTAATCAAGAATTCGGACATCCAAAGACATGCAGTACTCGTAATTTCGATCTAAATTTGGGAGGGCGAACCTTTAACCCATTCACTCCTGGAGATTTTGCCGAAAAACGCGTTTTGAAGCTAGTCGAGTGCTTTTCTGGTCACTGTCGTGCTATAAAGGGCTAAAACTTACCACAAACCGGTTTACAGGTCGTACACTTGGCGGCCTTCTGATCCACATGCAAAGCATCAGCTTGCGAAGTTCGGGCATGCGCAGAAAGCAAAATTTCGGGTTTAAAAGTGACACAGCAGTCTTGACTTTTACTTTTCGCTTTTTCTCCTCTCTTCTTTGTTCGCTTTTCTTGCCTCATTTTTTTTCTCTTGCTGGGCATTTAGTAGGCTTCATTTTGGTGGGAAGAGTTTTTAGGAAAGCTTTTAGGATCTTAGGATTAGGTGAAAGGAAAGGTAGGTG